GGCGAATAATCTTACCAGAGTCACATAACATAGACAAGTTCTGAGCTGTCCCTGGTGAAGACAGTTTTATTTCTGGGAATGTCTTTTTGTCATAGAGTAGTGATGGTAAGACATCATTGCAGGGATTTCAGAAGTCTCACTGTGTTTCTGCTTCCCTCTGTATTTTTTGGGCTATAAAAGGTTTGTGTTTGAGAGGTATGAAGCCCTGGTATGTTTTTCTTATCTGTGAATTGGACCAAATAGTACTGTTTCTCTTGACTGAAATATTTCTTAACTTTAAGTTAAAATATGGTACATATATTGAAATTTTCATATGTAAGTACAGTGTTTGGTGAATTTTCACAGACTGAACACACCCAGGTAACCAGTACTGTGAAGTATTAATGGCAACACCTTGAAAGCCCCCAAGCTAATTCTCCTCTGTAAACCTTACATCATTGTATATGCATGTATGTGGAACCAATGGACATAGACAACAGTGCTGGGATAGGGGTGTCGGGAGGAGGGTGTCAATAAGGGGAAAAGGAGAAACATCTGTAACAAAAATTAATTAATTTAAAAATTTTTAAGAAACAAAACACCTTACATCATTTCTCATCTTTTAGGTTTCTTCCTGATTTGGACCCTAATAACATTATTTTCAGTGTGGTTTTGTTGTTGTTTTTAAATATTTTTGCAAAAATACCATCAAAACTCGTCTCTTTGCCCTTTCGTAATTTCATCTCTTGATCAATCTGTTTCTGTTAAACCAAAGTGTTTTGTGTGACTACAAAGTCATTACTTGAAGGAATATGGAGGTTGGAATAGAACATGCAGCTATGGAGAAACAGCTAAAAACATTCCTTGGAATTTTCAAAGCTGAATGAGAATTTGGTTGTTGAACTCAGCCATCTATTTGTTAAGAGGTACTGAACAAGTACATGGTAAGCTACCTTCTGTCATGGGGAAATGGTAGTGGAAGCAGCTTCCTCATTCTTAGAACTCTGAACAGGCTTTTAAAAATTACTTGTGAGTAATAAACCATCGCAAATGAAATACAGTCTCTGTAGGTGCAGACTCGCCCACATGTGGTCCTGGTTCCTTTCTCTGCTCTACGGTATTCACCTATGTTCACTTGTATTCTTTGCTGTTTTAAACATTTGATAAAACTTAAATTTTTTTTTTTATCCTCACCTGAGGACATTCTTGCATTTATCTTCAGATAGAGAGGGAGGGAGAGAGAGAGAAACATCTATGTGAGAGAGACACATCAAGTGGCTGCCACCCACACGACCCCAACTGGGCCGGGTACGTGCAACCAAGGTACATGCCCTTAGCGGGAACCGAACCCAGGATTCTCCAGTCCATGAGCCGATGCTCCAACCACTGAGCCAAACCAGCCAGGGCAAAACTTAATTTTTATTTTTTATCCTCACCCAAGGACATTTTTTCATTTTTTGTTCAGATAGAGTGGGAGGGAGAGAGAGAGAAACATCAATGTTAAAGGGACACATAGAGTGGCTGCCACTCGCATGACCAACCAGGGCCAGGGACAAACTGCAACCGAGGTACGTGCCCTTAGCGGGAACCAAACCCTGGTCTCTCTGGACCACAGGCCGACGTTCTAACCGCTGAGCCAAACCGGCCAGGGCCAAAACTTAATTTTTAAATATCTTTTAAATTATGCCATCCTAGCCCAGCCGGTGTGGCTCAGTGGTTAAGCATTGACCCACGCACCAAGAGTTTGCTGGTTTGATTCCCAGTCAGGGCACATGCCCAGGTTGTGGGCCAGATCCTTGTTGTTTCTCTGTCTCTCTACCTCTCCCTTCCTCTCTCTAAAATCAGTAAAGAAAAAATAAATAAAAAAACTTTAAATGATGCCATTCTACTTTGAAGGCTTGCATGTCAAAGCTGATGTACCAGGGGAGCGGGTGGGTGGAAAGACCTGGCCCCTGACTCCCAGGGTGGCCTGCAGGCAGCAGGGATACTCAAGTTCCTGAGTAAAGAGGTTTAGAAGGATGCACAGCAATACTTGGGCTTTGTGGTAAAGTGACATTCTGTATGCTAGAACGTTCCAGAGAACCAAAATTTTCTCCGTTCACATAACACATTACATTTAAAAAAACAAATTAATTTCCTGCCGCCTTGGGGGGAAAAGCATACTAGACACCAAGTAATAATTTTATTCTGCAGAAAATCATAGTTCTAAGTTGGTGCAAAGTCTGAGAATTGCCCTGGAGGGTTGGTGGGTTGTTTGTTTTTCTTGGGAGGAGCACTTTTTAGGGGCAGGTGTGCCTCTATCTTAGTAAAGGTGACAAGAAGAATGTGTTGCGCCCTGGCCGGTTTGGCTCAGCGGTTAGAGCGTCGGCCTGCGGTCCTGAGAGACCCGGGTTCGGTTCCCGCTAAGGGCGCGTACCTCGGTTGCAGTTTGTCCCCGGCCCTGGTCGGTTGTGCGGGTGGCAGCCACTCGATGTGTCCCTTTCACGTCGATGTTTCTCTCTCTCTCTCTGTTCCTCTCTCTCCCTCCCACTCTACCTGAACAAAAAAAAAAATGGAAAAATGTCCTCGGGTGAGGAAAAAAAAAAAAAGAAGAATGTGTTGCTATATGAACTCCTGGCATAAAACAGTTATCCTTAAATTAAAAGTGACCTTTTTCATGTGATTACCTTATTCTGTTTTGATGCCCAAATGGACCGTAATCACCTCCTGACTCTCTTCTGTCTGCTAAGAAATCTTTAGAGTAGGTATACAACTCACCATTTCAGGAATTTTAGACATTTTGAAAAACTTGTTCATAAGCCTAAAGTTTTTTGTTTTGTTTATAAAATGATGCTTTATAAGTAATTACTAGGCCACGTTTTTCTTCAAGCCCTTCTTTTTGGTAGATAACAAAATCCTGGCTTTAAGCACCTTTTGCTTTTTTTTTAATCCTCACCCGAGGACATTTTTCGATATTTTCTTCAGATAGAGTGGGAGGGAGAGAGAGAAACATCGATGTGAAAGGGACACATCGAATGACTGCCACCTGCACAACCAACCAGGGCCGGGGACAAACTGCAACCGAGGTACGCCCTTAGCGGGAACCGAACCCGGGTCTCTCTCGACCGCAGACCGATGCTCTAACCCCTGAGCCAAACCATCCAGGGCTTTAATCAGCTTTTTAAATTGCACCTTTGCTCTCATGCTTTTGAGTTTGCTGTGATCCCTCATGAGGTCACAGTATCATAGCAAGGAGTGCCTTGAATACACTCTCCCTCCCAAACCATCATTCTCCATGTGTCCTTTGTCATTGTCTAGCCACATAGCTTTGCTGGCTACAGCACAGGTTAGTGTTTTTGAAATGCATATTTTATTTTTAAATATGTTTTTATTGATTTTTCTTAGAGGAAGGGTGAGAGAAAAACATCAGTGTGAGAGAAAAACATCCATCAGTTGCCTCCCGCACGCCTCCCACTGGGGATCTAGCCCACAACCCCAGGCGTGTGCCCTGACTGAATATTGAACCAGCACCTCTCAGTCCATGGGACAACACTCAATTCATGGAGCCACACCAACCCGGTTTGAAATGCATATTTTTAAATTATGAATGTATTTTACATTTATTAGTTTGTATCATCAGTGTATTTAATAAAATACAATGATTTTTAAGAATTTTTTATTTTTATATTTATTTTTTTAAGGGAAAAACAATGATGTAAAGAAACAAGTTTTTGTCGCTGAAGTTGACGGAATTTGAGAGCTTTTTCAGAGCTCTCAAAATCACACTCCCAGAGTTTGCCACCTTATCTTACATACTTAAACTCAGTCACCTATGGGTAGGGCCAGAGGTTGACCAGCATAACCTCAGGACATAGCCTCTGTTCTGAGTGAATTCCCTGAGGCTCATTTAACATGGGGCTATTGGTTAGCTTTCAGTCTTATCTAAAGTCATGTCTCACTTTGAAATGCCAATCCATACACATCATACACTTGAAAGCAATTTGGCAATTAGTACAGCATTGTTCAATACCTTGAATAAACCATTTGTAAAGAATTATACCAACTTCCTTTTAGAACTTTGTTGTATAGTATAAATTGACTACCACTTACTAGTCCATCAACATTTTCCTGTGTTCACCATTTTGGAGTTCAGCTCACATTTCTGTTTTCTCTTTTAAATTATCTACTTTTTTTTTTCCCCAAAAATATATATTTTTTTTTGAGAGAGGAAGAGAAAGAGAGATAGAAACATCAATGTGAGAGAGAAACATCTATTGGTCACATTCTGCACCCCCCCCACTGGGGATCCAGCCTAAAACCCGGGCATGTGCCCTGAGCAGGAATCAAACTGGGACCTCTCAGTCCATGGGACGATGCTCAGTCCACTGAGCCACACCAGCTGGGCTCTACTATTTTTTTTTTCTTTTCAATGCCTTCTGCCCTTTGTTGTTTGTTAGAAATCTAGACTTCAAAGGATAGCTTTTATACTATACCAAGATCTGTCCTGCAATTTACAATGCTCTACAGATTGTAGCATCGTGGCCTAGCCTATCCATGTAACTCACAGGGAGTGGTATTGGAGAGAACACTCAATTGGAATCTGAAAATCTATGTGTGAGTCACTAGCTGGTAACCTTGGGTAGTCAGTCAGGTTCTATTTTTGAGTCTGTGTTCACTCAGTAGGATGCAATGTCAGTGTTTGCTATATTCCAGAATCTTCACTCCCAAACTAATCTGTTACTTTTCCCCATCGTCCTCCCTTCCGCTATTCTACTGTTTAATGTTAGCTACTTGGGAGCCTAAACTCTCATTTCCAGGGACAATTTCTTTTTCTTTTTAATTTTAACTATCAGAGTTGACATAATGCTGGTTGTTTGAGGTCTCAAGAAGTCTTTCTTGCATCCATGTACCTGATAATACTTCAAATAACACCTTTTACAAACAAACCTAAACAGCAACATAATTGTCTTTGTGGTGGTTCTTTTAAGAATGAAAAAGGACATGATTGATTTTTTTTTTTTTTTGGTCTTATTTCTTTTTAGGTTTTGAATGAAGAATGTGATCAGAACTGGTACAAGGCAGAACTCAATGGGAAAGATGGCTTCATTCCCAAGAATTACATAGAAATGAAGCCACATCCGTAAGTTGGGCTCTACTGTCTCCCAAGCAGACCTGCCTGCTTGTTGTCAATAATGTTTTTAAAATTGAGACCACTGCAATGTATATCATACTTTTAATTCAGTCTTCCCAGGGAATTAACAAAGCATGTTGATTGTGCATGTTCTTGTTAGTAATAGTATATAAAGATAGTGTAACAGTCAATAATAGTGTATGTTTCAGATTAATAATAACTGTCAGTGATATTCAAGTACTAAAACAAGAGTTATACAGATTTATTATTCTTTATCTATGAAACCCTTGGGACCAGATGTTTTATAATTTTCCTTTTTTTTTTTGAGTTTTAGAAAAGGTACTTATCATATGGTTTTATATTGATATGTTTGATTTTCCTGTGGGACCATATCTTAAATAATCTTTGTGTCCCCAGAGCACAGTGCTTGGCATATAACTGGTTCTCAATAAATGTTTATTGTACTCACTGCCCTTGCTCTCCACTTAAGAGTTCGCATTTCAGAGGAAACAAAATGCTCTCCCACTCCAAACTTCTTTTCTTTTCATTTTTTTCTAGAGCCCCTCCTGTTTATATTGGTATGTGACACAGTGGGACCCTGGGAGCCATGAGAGGTCACTGTCCTCCCATCCTCACCCACCGCCTCTTTTATTGGCCCTGCTCCTACCCCTAAAGCAGTATTTTCATGCCTTGTATGTCAGGGGAGCTGAAGCTTTCAGTGCTCAGACTAGAGTGTCATCGAGACATGAAGAAATTCTTTCTATAGACTTGGTTTAGCACAAGTGATGAGACTTTTAGGTAACTTGACCCACCTTGAGTACCAGCCTATTTGTCCCTCTCCCCCATTGTTACTGCTTTAATGTGTACCTGTCATTTCTCTTCCCTCAAGTACCAGAGCAAGATATTAACCACCTAATGTTGCACAGAGCCTCCGTCATCTTACACATTTACAATGTCATAGAACTTGAAGGGTCCTTCAAGATTGTCTAGTTTATTCCTTTGTTTTTTAATCCTCACCCGAGGACATTGTTGTTGTTGTTATTGTTCAGATAGAGTGGGAGGAAGAGAGAGAGAGAGAGAGAGAGAAACATCAACGTGAAAGGGACACATTGAGTGGCTGCCACTGCACGACCCAACCAGGGCTGGGGACAAACTGCAACCGAGGTACGTGCCCTTTAGCAGGAACCGAACCCGGGTCTCTGGACCGCAGGCCGACGCTCTAACCGCTGAGCCAAACCAGCCAAGACTAGTTTATTCCTTTTTATATCCTACAAATTAGAAATGCTTCTGGTGTTTTTATTCCAATACCAGTAATTTGTGAATGTAGTTCTCATTATAAAAGACTCTCAGTATAACTATCCTTTTTTCTACCAAAGGCCATTTGGATATTTATAATATCATTCACAGGCCATATAAAATTATAAACTTAAAAATTAGTCTGCTTGCCCCGGCCAGTTTTGCTCAGTGGTTGGAGCTTCAGCCTGCGGACCTTAGAGTCCTGAGTTCGGTTCCCGCTGGGGGCACGTGCCTCGGTTGCAGTTTGTCCCTGGCCCGGTTGGGGTTGTGTGGATGGCGGCCACTCTGTGTGTCTCTCTCACATCGATGTTTTTCTCTCTCTTTCCCCCCTTTCTCCTCCCGCTCTATCTGAAGATAAATGTAAAAGTGTCCTCGGGTGAGGATTAAAAAAAAATTATTCTGCTCTATTTGGTCAGACTGATTTGATGAGGTTGGATGTTAGCTGGTATTGAGTTCATGGCAACCCTCGGGCTGGACGTTCCCCACCCCTGGATGAGTTTCTCCCCGTACACATATTTCTTTCAGAGGTAACCACCACTAGCAATTAGTTGTGGGCCAAATGCTAACTTATGAATCAAATCTGTTCTAAAAAGGTTTTTTTTTCTATGATATGAAACAAATGATCCAGGAACTTCACCATAGAGCTGTTTGTTGATTCATGCCTTGGTCAGTAAACTTACACAGTTCTTATTATATGGCAGAGACTGTTTTAGGTGCTGGGAAGTTAGGTGCTATAGTTATGGTATAATAAAATTCCCATGTAGTTAATATGAAGTTCTTTGAGAGATCACATCCAGCAAGCTTTAGCCTGGAGAGAGAAGGCTGAGTTACCTTGCAGGTGGTAAAGGGAAGCTAGCTCTCTATACAGACATTTCTATAATGAAGAAACTGTGAGGTCATCAAAGAAATTTCTTTTTACTTCAAGAAGAGCCAGGCATCTTATAATGGCTTAATAAACGTTTCATTGAATGATTTACAAGGTGAAAACCAGTCTAATTTATAAACTTTTTTTGTTTGGAACTTGTACTATCTTCTATCTTTGTAACTATACGAGTTTGGTCTCTCTTCACTCCACCCACCCCCCGGAAATTTTTTGTTTTAGATTCCTTGGAGAATTTATGTCTTCTTCATTTATACTCCTGGGAAGTGTATAAGCACAGCTTTGCTTTTTCTTTTTTTTTTTTTAATCCTCACCGGAGGACATTTTTCCATTCTTTGTTCAGATAGAGTGGGAGGGAGAGAGAGAGAGAGAGAGAGAAACATCGATGTGAAAGGGACACATCGCCTGCACGACCCAACCAGGGCCGGGGACAAACTGCTCCCTAGGTACGTGCCCTTAGCAGGAACCGAACCCGGGTCTCTCTGGACCACAGGCCAGCGCTCTAACGCTGAGCCAAACCGGCCAGGGCAGCTTTGCATTCTTTTGGCCACTTAGTGTTGGTATTTGCTTTGGGGGCTGTGTGGGCTTTTCATGGACAGCACCGTGGAATGCACTCCTTGGGAAGACGCAGTTGGGTAGTGGTTACTGGGAGTAGGAAGGGCTCCTTGAATCACAGTGCATTCTCCTTACCTCGGTCCATGGAAGCCAAATAATATGTGCACATCTATTCCTTCAGTTCTTCCTCAGAATAGATCAGGGGCTGGTGAGACTTCTGTTAAAGGCAGATAATAAATATTTTAGAGCCCTGGCCAGTTTGGCTCAGCGGTTAGAGCGTTGGCCTGTGGTCCGGAGAGACCCGGGTTCGGTTCCCGCTGGGGGCATGTGCCTCGGTTGCAGTTTGTCCCCGGCCCTGGTTGGTCGTGCGGGTGGCAGCCACTCGATGTGTCCCTTTCACGTCGATGTTTCTCTCTCTCTCTCTTTCTCTCTCTCCCTCCCACTCTATCTGTACAAAAAATGGAAAAATGTCCTCGGGTGAGGATAAAAATATAAATAAAATAAAAAAATAAATAAATATTTTAGACTTTGTGGGCCACATGCAATCTCTGTCATGACACATCTTCTTCTTTAGAATTTTTTTTAAAAACCCTTTACATTTTTTAAAAACAGTCTTAGATTATGGGCCATACAAAAACTGGGCAGATTTAGGCCAAGGGCCATGGTTTGCTGACTCCAGCACTAAATCCAATGACAACAAAATCAACTTAAGTTTCTTTTCATTTTCATATTTCCAGGCTGAAAGGGAATTCAGCAGAAATTCATACTATAATTTTTGTGTTAAATAAAATGCCTGTGGTTATAAATTCTTGTTTTCCTTTGAATTGTTTCAGGTGACAAGAGGCATTTCAAATTCGACTATTAAGAAAATATAGCCCTGGCCGGTTTGGCTCAGCGGTTAGAGCGTCAGCCTGCGGTCCTGAGAGACCCGGGTTCGGTTCCCGCTAAGGGCGCGTACCTCGGTTGCAGTTTGTCCCCGGCCCTGGTCGGTTGTGCGGGTGGCAGCCACTCGATGTGTTCCTTTCACATCGATGTTTCTCTCTCTCTCTCGGTTCCTCTCTCTCCCTCCCACTCTACCTGAACAAAAATGGAAAAATGTCCTCGGGTGAGGATAAAAAAAAAGAAAATATAGGAGCCCTGGCCAGTGTGGCTCAGTTGATTGGGTGTTGTCCCAAGCACTGAAATGTTGTTAGTTTGATTCCTAGTCAGGGCACATGCCTGGGTTTCAAGCTCTATCCCCAGTAGGGGGTGTGCAGGAGGCTGTTGATCAGTGTTCCGTTCTCAAATCGATCTTTCTCTTTCTCTTTCTCTGTCTCCTCCTCTCCCTTCCTGTCTCTCCAAAAATCAATAAAAATATTTTTGAAAAGAAAATACAGGAAAGGCTACCTTCCTTGGAAAGTTGTGGTTACTGACCTGATTGGTTGGTTAGCCTTTTAGGAAGTCACTCTCATGCCCAGTTCCCCACTATAAAGGACTTTGTTTGAACGATTAATCAGGAAGCATCCAGTACAGGTGTTCTTCACAGACTCTGGCTGAAAATACACTCCAAACTCTGAGTGGATTGCTAACAAAGACCATGACTTTGTACCTATGTGGTGGTTGGTCTTACAGGCATGTTTCATGTAACGGGATGCTCTGTGGCTGGACACCCATAAGTATAGTTACTGTCAGTTTCATAGCTGTGGGGGAGCACAGAGTACCAGGTCTCTCCTCCCCTCTTCCCTCCCTTCCTCTTCCCCACCCCAAACCAAAACCTTTAGTTTTGTTAGGAAGAGGGAAGTTTAAAATGGAGTATGACCTGCTCCAGCTGGTTTTGCTCAGTGGTTAGAGCGTCAGCCTGCAGACCAATGAGTCGTGGGTTCGATTCCAGTCAAGGGCGCATACCTCAGTTGCAGTTCATCCCCGGTCATGCGGGAGGCAACCAGTCGATGTGTTTCTCTCATGTTGATGTTTCTCTCCCTCCCTCCCTCCTTCCCTCCCTCCCACTCTATCTGAAGATAAATAGAAAAAAATGTCCTCGGGTGAGGATTGAAAAAATTTAAAAAATGGAGTATGACCTAATATAGCATTTGAGGTAACAAATTAAACACAGACTACAAAATGATTGTTGGCATTAGTGTTGCAAGATGAATTGTAGATACTGGGGGTGGATCCAACTATGTGCTTTCACATTAAATGCTTATGGGTGGGAGCCTATGGGATGTAGTAAAGAAGTAAATTGCAAAATAAGCAGCCCCCTCCCATTAGCTTTCTCCTTTGCTATTTTTAGTGTGGTATAAACCCATCTTTCTAAAGATTTTTAAAATTTTGACCATAGCCATGTAGTTACATATAAATATCACCATTAAAAGAGGCTAATCAAATTTATGAACAGTATAAAATGCTGTGGAAATGTAGGGTGATGGTAATTTTTTATTTTTTATTTTTGTTGCAGATGTTTCTCCTTTTTTACCCCATTGATATCCTCCTGCCCATCCCCCCAACCTTGTCTCCGGCTTTGTTGTCCATGTCCGTTGGTTATGCGTACATGCATATAAGTTCTGTGGTTTATCTCTTCCCTTCCCCCCACCCCCTCTTCTGAGGGTTGTCAGTCTGTACCCTACTTCCACGTCCCTGGGTCTACCCTATTCCTCAGACTGTTATATTCATTATATTCCACAAATAAGTGAGATCATGTGGTATTTGTCTTTTTCTGCTTGGCTTGTTTCGCTTAGGATAATACTTTCCAGGTCCCTTCATGTCATCTCAAAGGATGAGAGATCTTTCTTTCTTACAGCTGCATAGTACTCCATTGTGTATATGTACCACAGCTTTTTTATCCATTCGCCTATTGATGGACACCTGGGCTGTTTCCAGATCTTAGTTATTGTAAATAGTGCTGCTATGAACACGGGGGTACATATATTCTTTCTGATTGGTGTTTCAGGCTTCTTAGGGTATATTCCTAGAGGTGGGATCGATCACTGGGTCAAATGGAAGTTCAATTTTTAATTTTTGGAGGTAACACCATAGTGTTTTCCATAGTGTCTGCACCAGTCTGCATTCCCACCAGCAGTGTACTAGAGTCCCCTTTTCTCCACACCCTCACTTGTTTGATGATTTGTTGATGGCGGCCATTCTGACAGGTGTGAGGTGATACCTCATTGTTGTTTTGGGTGATGGTATTTAAATGTTGTAACTGAAGTGATAGCATTCCTCATGTAGTGTGCTAGCCCTTATGTTGTGGGACATCCTTGGTGGGGTGCGGGGGATGGTGTGTGCTGGTGTGGATGCGTGCACATGCATGCTTAGTAAAAATGGGAGCAGATACAAAAGAAATATTTACTTAATAAAGTCTCCAGCTAATTTTCTATTTTTCAATCTGGGTGCTTGTAACGGGTTTGTTTATGTTGTAAAATCCAATTAGCATGCTTTATTTCACTACAGTTTTTGTTTTTTAATTCAAAATAAAATTCAGTTAATTTTAAACTGTGGGCAAGAAAACCCTACAGCCATATCTATCTATGTATCTATCCGTGCACCATAAGGGAAAGTCTGTAACACACATATAACTGCCAACAGTTGCTGCCTCTGGGGAATTTGAGGGAGAAGCCTTGCTTTTTATTTTTAAGGCCTGCACATCTAGAGTATTTTAATTTATATTTCTGCTAATGGTTTAAAAAGTGGAAAAGGAAAGAAAATGCCTGCCTGCTGGGAAGATCTTGGGGCTTTAGGAGGAAAGAGTGAAACTGTTGAGTAACGACCCCACCCCAGGCAAATGCCTGTGCGTGCGAGTACATTATAAACTTGAAAGCAGAGATTAAAATAGAAAATATCTAAATGGTCTCAGTAGTATTAGCTCTTCTTTCATAACTGGAGATCATTCTATTTTATTAATATGTGATTTTTCTCATGGCCTGACTCGCAGGCACTGGAGTCCTTACCCTTCAGGTATTGGTAGAAGCAGGAGGTAGGTGGTAGCAGCTCCTCAGCAGCTTGGCATTACAGGAACAAAATGAGAAAGACACAAGGGGGTAGATTTAGGAATGTTTAAAGGTTACTAATGGCAACTTCTGAATGTATCCTTCCTAACAACTCACATCTCTCTGTTTGAATTTTAGTATAGTGTATTCTTTTAGGGACCTCTTGCCAATGCAGTTGCTTATACGTGAGATAAATACATAAGTAAGTTAATGGGCTCTTTGGTATCTTTGTTAATATAGTTCGTTTATTTAATGAATATTAGTTACCATGTATGGAGTTTAATGAAGCAGACAGGTCTTTATTAGCTCTAGGAAACATAGTTGCTTTTTTAAAATAACCATAATAATACATTAAAGACAACTTTGAAAAGAGAGCATTGTTTTCACAGTTCGTCCATCTTAAATTGGTATGGTTTAATTCACTTTTCTTGTGGCCAAGGTGAATTAGCATTGAGAGCAGAAGAATCTAACCTGATCCAAATGAAAAGTCGAATTTTGCAACTAGCTATCCATGCACATGGTAAAATATGATGTTCTTGAGGGCTCCTAAAAGCTAAACTGAGCAGGGACAGCAGAGATTGGCTTTGAAAGGAATACCAACCTTAATTACTAGTGGACGCTTTCCTCTTATAGCCTGAACCTCTTCCCTTTGGGCTGTTATAAGAAAGCCCTGTCTCCAGCTTCTGGGCCTCCCAGCTTTCCTACCCCCATTTCCTACTGTAGCAAAGCTGCAACTTTATCACATGGCTGCAAGGATCCTGTCTCCCCCTCTGTGGTTCAAATCATAGGCCTGGACTTTCCCCCGTGCCTTGTAATGAGTCTGTAGGAAGCCTAGTAGGCTTTGGCCCTGAAGGCCCATTTTAAGTGTCTACCTCTATAGGAAAGTGCCTTATGAATCACTTTCTGGAGAGTGGGGTATGGTGAAGTTGTTTGAAGGAAGATGGTTCATCTCTCAAAGGAGGACCTGACTGAACAGCGTGGTTGGGCATGTTGAGACTGAAGGGTGAAGAGGGAGGTCCTTCCCCTCCCTGGCAAGGAGTGTTCTGTTACTCACATTTTGGAGACTGCACATCCCATTTCTTTCTGGGGAAGCAGATGTTGACCAGCTTGCCTTCCTTCCTTAGGTGGTTTTTTGGCAAAATCCCCAGAGCCAAGGCAGAAGAAATGCTTAGCAAACAGCGGCACGATGGAGCCTTCCTCATCCGAGAGAGTGAGAGTGCGCCTGGGGATTTCTCCCTCTCTGTCAAGTAAGTACGTCCTGCTTCGGCTGCCTGGGTCCTTGCCTCCAGCTGACCTGAGTTGTGAAGCTATGAGGCCAGATGTCTGGCAGTACACACAAAAGGTTGCAAACTGGTAGGGGTTTAGCCTAAACAATGTTTCACAGATCAAAAGATATTACATTGAAGTCCTAATTTCTGGCTCCTAAAAATTTGTTCTAATAGCACTGGGTTTACGTTCCCCATGGAAGCGGTCTAGTTGCTGAGCCGCAGCCGCACTTCGGACAACACATGCTTGCCAGTTTTCCCTAATCCCCACCACTCCCCAGGGTAACCGCACACATGACTCTCTCGTCACCCCCACCCTTCCCTCTGTGGGATTCCTGCAGCTCTCTCTAATGGTTGACTGATGGCAAAGTCAGCTGCCTCTGCGGGCCTTCACCAGGTATCCAGCTGAAATCTGCCAGCACCAGCCTAAGCCTCTCGCTATTATTGGAAAGGTCACTACAAGAGTTTTGGGGTATTTTGCTTTTCCCCGTGGTAAATTTAAATGTGGAAGGGAGCTGGTGAACAAGGACTGGGGAAGGCAGGAAGTTTTATCACCCTGGTAGTCACGGAGAATATAAATTGGAACTTAGAGGGTTCTAAGCAAATCAGCCCCCATCTGTGACGTAGGATATTGAATCAAATTGTGGTTTCCATGTGTGTTTTGACTCGGTCCTTTTTCTAGTTAATAATATATTATCACAGGAACCCCTCCCCTAGGAATCTTACAAATCAGTTCATTTATATGACAAAGAAGTAGTTATTCTTTATTTTTTTTAGAAGTATCTCTCTTCTTTTTTTTAATTGATTTTAGAGAGAGGAAGGGAGGGGAGACAGAGAGAGGAACATTGATATGCTGTTCCACCCATATATGCATTCATTGGTTGATTCTTGTATGTGCCCAGACCAGGGATTGAACCCACAACCTTGACCTATCAGGACAGTGCTCCTAACTAACTGAGCTACCGGGCCAGGGCTAAAATTTATTTATTTTTTAATATATTTTTTATTGATTTTCAGAGAGAGAGGAAGAGAGAGATAGAAACATCAAAGAGAGAGACACATCGATCAGCTGCCTCCTACACACCTCCCACTGGGGATCCAGCCTGCAACCCCGGGCATGTGCCCTGACAGCGAATTGGGCTGGCCACCTCTTAGCTCGCTGAGCCACACCAGCTGGGCTACAATCGATTTTTAATGAAAGCTATAATAATTTGTCATTTACAGATGATGTAAAGATATTCTTAGTTTTGAAAAATTAACTGAATATATTTCATTTTAAGACAAAGTATGTGGTTAAAGTATAGATTTTTTGGAAATATAGATTTAAATTTAGAGTTGTTCCCTCAGCGAAGATGTGGGAGGTGGTTTCAGGTGGTGTTTGCAGTGCCTTACAGACATGTCTCCAGCCCTGGCCGGTTTGGTTCAGCGGTTAGAGCATCGGCCTGCGGTCCTGAGAGACCCGGGTTCGGTTCCTGCTAAGGGCATGTACCTCGGTTGCAGTTTGTCCCCGGCCCTGGTCGGTTGTGCGGGTGGCAGCCACTCGATGTGTCCCTTTCACATCGATGTTTCCCTCTCTCTCTCTGTTCCTGTCTCTCCCTCCCACTCTACCTGAACAAAAAATGGAAAAATATCCTCGGGTGAGGATAAAAACAAAACAAAAACAAAAAAACAGACATGTCTCCAGCATAGTTTTAATTCCCAACATGAAAAAGTCAAACTGCATTTAATTATAAGTTTTTCTCTTCTTACAGTGGAATTCTTTTTTTTTTTAGTAGACTTTATTTTTTAGAGCAGTTTCAGGTTCACAGCAAAAGTGAGTGGAAGGTACAGAGATTTTCCCATACCCCACTCTCCCACACACTTTTGGTGCTTGGTTAAACGCATGCAAATTCGGGTCTGGTGCAGAGCACCTCAACATGGAAGTATTGGTATGCTTCTTATGAACTTGTATTTCATCCTCTGTCTGCCTGACATCTTAGACTGCCCTGAGTGCAGATCAGACAGCATAGGACGAGGAGCACAGGCAGCGAGTCATTGGGCTTCACTGTGGCAGGCAGCGTTCAGCTGGCGGCCTTGTCTCAGTACCACTGATCACCGCGCACGGTACCCGCCAAGAGGCTCCCGCACCACTCCTTTTATGAAATAAAATGTTTAAAATTTTTTTCTTTATTGGTTTTAGAGAGAGGAAGGGAGAGAGAGAGAGAGAGAGAGAAACATTGATGAGAGAGAGCATTGATTGGCTGCCTCCTGCATGCCCCCCACTAGGGATTTGGCCCACAACCTGGGCATGTGCTCTGACCAGGAATCGAACCAGTGACCTCTTGGTGCATGGGTTGATGCTCAATCACTGAGCCACACCGGCTGGGCTGAAATAAAAAGATTAAAGAGTTGTGTTTTAGAAATAAAATTTGAAATGTCATTAACCATCTTGATCAACACAAACACCTTTGCAAAGGAGGTTTAAGAATCCAATCTCTGAAATTTTTCTCTAGTTTCAAGATGCTGTGAGTCAGTGATGAAAAACACTGCAGTCCTTTCAGAAACTGATTTACTGCATAGTGCGAGTGCACTTCTGTGGAGCCAGAAGTGTCATTGACTATGTCCTTCCTCACAAAGCTTTCTCCCCATCCATCTCTTTTCCCTCTTGAAAGCAGTACTGTAGATCCTTTCGTTATAACATTGATGGGCTGTGGTAGGAATTTAACTCTTGCATATACCAATTCGCCTATGGTAAAATCGGATTCATTACAAGTCGTTTTGTTTAAAGTCACAGAAGCCGTGGACAACGTTCAAGTGAGGACTGACTGTACTGTTTCTAAACACTTGGCATCTCCCTCACTGGCTTCCTAGAAGCTCGGTGCTGCCACCTGCTGGGATGTCTTTTAGAAGTGATTCATTTCTTTAGCTTTAAGACTAGGAGAAAGACTAGTTTCATTCATTTAACAAATCTTCTAGAGTGCCTTTGAGGGCTGGGCACTGGTGTGGACACCGAGGGCTCAGCAGTAAACAGGACAGGCAGAGCCTTCGTTAAGCTGATGCACTGGCCTCGTGGCGCTACGATAGTGGGCCATTCTGCTCAGTCCGGCTCCTGCTTCTGTGGACCTGTGTAAAATGGAGCATTTACCTTTCTCCAGGTGATAAAGAAGGCTTTCGGGGAGGGGTGCCTGGGCCTCTTTATTGTCCCAGTGTATTCTTTTGTTCCAAGACCTTTTTCTCTGTGAGAAGAACTAAATCCCTGAATAGAACTTTAAGCTGTTCCCAGGTACAGGAGAACTGTTGAAAGTACATCCAATCCCTCTTCGTACCTTATTTCCTTTCCCACTTTTTGTAGTCTTTAAAATCACATAAGATTTTAATTCTTATTATTATTCCTTTTTGCACTTGAAAATGTAATTAAGTTACACTCCTTGCCTTAAATAGGCTATGTTTCTTTCATTTGGTACCATTTGGGGCAAGTCATAGGTTAGGAATTTTCTTTTTATTTACAAACGTCTTCAGAATTAGACTGACAGACAGGTTTCCTGTCTGGTGAGGACTCTTCATGTTGTCCCTGGTGGCCATCAGTCCTAATGGAGGGGTCTTCGGGGAGCTCAGTGGTCATCCTAGTCCTCCAGCCCAGAAGTCATGCTGAGCTGCAGCCCTGGCCCTTGGCTGTGAGGAGCGTTGCCTCCTTGCTGGGCAGGTGGCCCTGGCGGGTAGCCAGAACTGAGCCTCTAATCCGGTCTCCTGTGTGTTCCCTGCCCCTTCCCAGGTTTGGAAACGATGTGCAGCACTTCAAGGTGCTCCGAGATGGAGCCGGAAAGTATTTCCTTTGGGTGGTAAAGTTCAATTCTTTGAATGAGCTGGTAGATTATCACAGATCTACATCCGTCTCCAGAAACCAGCAGATCTTCCTGCGGGACATAGAGCAGGTGCCACAGGTGAGCCTCACGAGACAGGTGGGTCGTTTTAGCATGAGAACAGCTCCTCAGGCAAGCAGGTGCCTCTTCAAAGGATTGCTTCTGGAGCTTCTGCGCGCCATTCAAGACGTTACCTAGCTCGTGTTTAGGATGTGAATCTGCAGTGGAATGGTCCTGCCTTCCCAGAGGGGTCCCGCCGAGGCGTGCTGCTGCTCGCTCACCCGCCTCTCTAGGGGAGAGGGTCTTAGCACACTCAGACACCCTCTTCCTGGAGGCGAATTGTGAGGAGAGTCGTACCCGTGAAGGAGTGAGGCCCACGCTCACCTCAGTGGTCCTGGTCCTGGTCCTGGTCCCGGTCCCTACTTGTGTGCTCTGGCGAGCACCACCTTATTTCATTTAAGCTCCTGACTTTTGACTCTAAAATCTTCAGGATTTTATAAGTGGTACAATGGTAGGAATGGAAGCACTTTCAAATCCTGGGATTTTATTTATTTACTTATTTATTTGTTTGTTTTTTTTTATTGATTTTAGAGAGAGGAAGTGAGAGGGAGAGGGAACATAAACTAGCCTCCTCCTGCATGTCCCCACTGGGGATCGGGCCCACACCCTGGGCATGTGCCCTGACCGGGAATCGAACTGGTGACCTCTTGGTGCATGGGTCGACGCTAAACCACTGAGCCACACCGGCCGGGTGAATCCTGGAATTTTAAACAAAACCTGATGGCTGTTTCCAAAGCTCTTTCCCCTTAAAGCAGCATTTGTGCTCTGCTTAATAACGTGGCCCAGCTGGCCCCAAAGTGAGTGCTGCCCGCTCGTTTCTGAGTGTTGGTGAGAGTGCACTGTCCCACGCAGAGCGAGCTTAAGAATGAAGGGAGCGGGGAGGAGAAATGTGGAAATGTTGGCACATATCTGTCGCCCTCCATAGCCAGTCCCACTCCCCAGGACGGAATGTGTGTGTTTTTCTCTGCCCCTCTGCAGCAGCCGACGTACGTCCAGGCCCTCTTTGACTTTGATCCCCAGGAGGATGGAGAGCTGGGCTTCCGTCGGGGAGACTTTATCCACGTCATGGATAACTCAGACCCCAACTGGTGGAAAGGGGCTTGCCACGGGCAGACCGGCATGTTTCCCCGCAATTACGTCACCCCTGTGAACCGGAATGTCTAAGAATCAAGAAGAGATTATTTAAAGAAAGTGAAAATTTTAAACATGTACAAAAGATTTAAACCCATGAGCTGCTTCTATCAGCAGCCCGTGCAGGAGCTCCGAACACCTGGCTGGGTCACCTGGTGATCCTCTCACTTTGGTTGGAACTTTGGGGGGGCGGGAGGGGGAGTTGGATATAACAATGCCAAAACTTACCTATAAATTAAGAGAGAGTTTTTATTACAAATTTTCACCGCTGCTCCTTGTTCTCCTCCTTTGTCCTTTTTTTCTTTGTTTTTTTCTCTTCTGTCCATCAGTGCATGACATTTAATGCCACATATAGTCCTAGCTGATGCCATTAATAAAAGAAAAGAAACAAGTGGGCTGGTATTTTCTCTATGCAAATGTCTGTTTAGTCGGAATGACTGAGAACAGCCATGGCTGGGTTCTCCATTACACAGGAGGGGTGGGGGAAGCCCTTCCTCTGCAGTCCGCCCAGGGAGGCCCCGGAGGACTCTGCCCTGCAGCCCTGCAGCCCTGCAGCCCTGCAGCCCTCCTCCCAGCGTTTTGTCAGAGTTGGAAATGGAGTGGGGTTGAGAGGAAGGAGCGTTGCCCCTCATGACTTCCTGAGAAAGTTAGACAAACCTGTGTCTGTTTTCCCTTCCGAATGTTATTACTGAGCATGTTTTTCATAGTGCCTTTTTCCTTATTTCAAGGGTTGCTTATGAGTGGTGTTTATTTGTTTTATTTTACGATAAGTTAAAGACAGTCCAGAGCTTTTCAGCCAATTTATCTCCTACTCTGTAAATATGTTTCCTTCGGTGGGGAGGGGAGAACAGGTAGAGAAGAGGCCAGCAGAAGAGGAGAATATGGGCCTCCTGCCTGTCCAAAGCAGGCGTCATTAGGGTTCAGCTTTAATATTTGTGAGCCCCTGGAGCTGAAGGGACCCACAGCCTGGGTGCCTGGCGTTGCTGCCCCAGGGAGCGATGTGACAGGCTGCAGCTCTCCCCACACTGGACTGGATCTGGCCGAGAGGGGTCAGCATCCTCGACCTTGCCGTCTCAGGTGTTGTCTGTCCCCTGTCTTAATCCCCAGAGACCCCCGACTCAAATCCCTAGAGTCAGCAAATTTCGACCAAGGAAAGCCCGAGGAATTCTAACTGTCCCTGTACACCTGTATCAGGATATACCGCATTCCTACACTGGGGTACAATACGTCTTCATCTTTCTTGCTCTGAAAATCAGGGGTGTCTGTTCATGCCTTTTATCTTTTGTGTCCCCACCTAACGTGCCCAGGTGAGCCTTAGGGCAGCGTTCAAGAAGCAGCTGGGTGGTTTTCATTGTCTCCATTCACAGCGGGCTGTGTTGATAGCTGCTCCACCCCAGCCCCCCAAAGGAAATGCCTCCATGAAGCAGGGAGAGCGGGAAGGGAAGACTGGAAATCTGGGAAGACCGAGTCCACGGGAGACTGCCCACCTCCTGTCGGCTCGTCTGCGAGGGAGGTGCCTGTGAGCTTTCTCCACCCAGCCCCTTCCCACCACAGCCGGCCGGGAGCCGGTGCCGACCTTGGGTGCTGATGTGGTCTTCAGCGGCTCCCTGGACTCTGGTCACGGAGCCGGGCTCAGGCCCAGGAGGCGGCTGCTGCTCTGGACAGAATTCGGCCGCCTCGCTCCTCCCCGACAGCTTTCCTCGCTGATGACAGGAACCTGGCGTTCTGTACCTGGGCCGTCTGATTGTTTTATTTTGGAATTGGTGTATATCATGAAGCCTTGCTGAGCTACGTTTTGTGTGTATATATTTAAAAAAAAATCAGTGTTTAAATAAAAAGACCCATGTACTTAATCCTTTAACTCTGCGAATAGAATTTGGTAGGTAGTGATTAACTGTGAACAATAAACATACAGTGACTTCTTCATTCCGCATCTTTTTTCCCTTCGCCTTAAAAACCTAAGAACTGTCAGGTGTGTGTGAGGTCAGGGCGTCAGAACTGATATCCTCTTCTCCGGCTCACCCCGCTGCTTGGGGGCACTGGTCCCCGGAGGAGTGACAGCCACACCTGGCTGTGACGGAGTGCTGGGGGGTCTGGTCCACAGGGAAGGTTGCCAGGCCCCACCTACACCCTCCGGGATGAGGGTCGAGGGCACAACAGACGTTCTTGGCATTTCTGGTGGAAACCATAGACCACACTCTGGAAAGTTTGTCAGGACAAAGAGCACGACTGGCTTGGTTCTTGCCCCTCCCCTTCCCTCCCTTCCTCGGCCCACCCCCTCCCCACCTAGTAAAGGACGGGGTGACCTGAGCAGCTGGAGCGAGCTGTGTGCCTTCAGGGTGGGCCTCAGCCGGCTTCCCCACAGCACTGGCTGCAGAGACCAAACAGGATTGTTTAGAGAGAACAAAATAGAAACGAAACCCAAGGAATTTCCACTTGTATTCTTGGTCTAGTTCCTGAACAGAGCCCAGCACCCGACCTCAGCTGTGGCTGCCCAGCTTGGGCAGGGACGTTTTCAGTTCCTTCTCTGAGAAGGAACTCGGCCAACACTGTCCTGCGGGGGGCTGCTGGTCGCACGGTCCACCTAGGCCAGCTACTGCGAAGCCGAGCGGAAATTTCCAGAAAGGGGCCATTGACGTGAAGACTCAAGGCAGACTGTCAACCTCGTTGAGACTTCGTTGGACGGGCGGCCTCAGATTTCAAGGGAAAATGCTGCTTTCGTGCAGTCTGCTTGGTTACAGATTTCTTGGCGATGGTAACCCCCTCTGCCCGTGGTTGTGTAGTTCCTGGACAGGCATCCTGGTGGGGTGTTTGGGAAGACTGGAACAGCTCAGCTGCGTTTAATGACGAAGCTACAGAGGTGAGTGGCCACGAGGCCTCCTCTTGCTCTCTGCACAGTGGCCCTGCGTCTGGAGCTTGGTCGCCCTCCTGACGTTCTTCATACTTAGTGGCCTGGGAGTTTGTAACAGAGGCCCTTCTTCCAACATGGTTGTGGAGGGACAGTGACGTCAGCTCCCACCAAGTGTTCCAGGGTGACCTCTGCAGTGCCCGGCCACTTAGGTGGTTTGTTGGAAAGAGGGTGATGGGCACAAGTGGTTCACCTTCCTGGACTTGCCCCAGTGACCTGCTTATGGCAGGTGGTCTTCAAATCAGAACGTCCAAAGTGCTGGATAACTAGGAATTGTATTTGAGCACTCTGGAAATCTTAACTCCTAAGACACTATTTACGTGCAGTTCAGAGTCCGGTTTAGTTGGGGGCTTCTTAAATGTGGTCCCAGGGGCTACAGGCCCCTCGCTCCAGCCAGAGCCCCGAGGCAAATGAGTGATGTGCTCTCCACCAAGATGGCCGGCATCAGAATCCTAAATGACCACTGTCAGGAAGGAAAAGTACTGTTCTGTGTACCAACAGCACCGATACATAAGCGGTAGATGTGGTAGTGTTGATGAACCCACTCGCTGCTCAAAGCACTCCAAACACTACTTTTTAAAGTGAGCTAGGTTAGCCCTGGCCAGTTTGGCTCAGCGGTTAGAGTGTCGGCCTGCGGTTCAGAGAGACCCGGGTTCGGTTCTCGCTAAGGGCACGTACCTCGGTTGCAGTTTGTCCCCGGCCCTGGTTGGGTCGTGCGGGTGGCAGCCACTCGATGTGTCCCTTTCACGTCGATGTTTCTCTCTCTCTCTCCCTCCCACTCTATCTGAACGAAAAATGGAAAAATGTCCTCAGGTGAGGATTAAAGTGAGTTAGGTTAGCCCGGCACCGGTTGAGCGTCGACCCATGCACCAAGAGGTCGCCTGTTCAGTTCCCGGTTGGGGCACATGCCCAGGTTGTGGGCCAAATCCCCAGTGGGGGGCATGCAGGAGGCGGCCAATTGATGTTCTCGCTCATCGATGTTTCTTGCTCGCTCTCCCTTCCTCTCTCTTAAAATCAATAAAGAAAAAGTAAATAAAATAAAACTTAGTTTAAAATGTACTGTATCCAGTCCAAAAAGATATTCCTGAGATAGTCTTTCAAGACTTGATTCTGGCCCGTCCGGTAAGCAACACTGGTCTTGGGTGTGCAAGGACGGTCCGTGTTCAATGCGGGCAGACCTCGGAGATGTCGTGGGCTGCTTCCAGCCCACACAGTAAAGCAAGTCACGATCTTCTGCTGGTGGGTCTGTGAAGCTCAGTGAAGCCAAGCACAATGAAATGAGGTGTGCCTGTCCTCCGTCCGCTGGCCAGAGTTGGGGCTTAGACCCGGTCATCTCAGGCACCCGCTGGGTCTGAATGGTCTTCGACAGGCCCACCTCCCTCCAGAATCCCTGGTGTGTCATGAAGTGAAAAAGGTGAAGGGTCGGCCCCTACTCTTGCTCCCCCCTAATCCTGTCCTGTGCTGGGGAGTCAAAGGGCGCACGGGCCCCCTTTTCTGTTTAGCTCCTTTCAGGCGTGTTGATCACAGCTGGGAGCGATTTCTGTGGTGAACTGCATTCCTGGGGTGCACGGTGTTCTCCAATGACTCTGGAGCTGGACGCCCCTCTCCATCAGACGCTGAGCGGGGTTTATATCGTCCCCCAGATCTTCAGCCGTCCCTTTCCACCCTACACTGCAGGCGGCACTGCTCAGTCCTGAACCGGAAAGGACCCTGCTCCAGGCTCTGTGTGTGTGTGCGGCCGACGTGCTCCGGCAGCGACTGGTGTGTTGGTGTGCGAGCTGATGGACGAGCACTCCAGACACGTGGATGACAAGCAGTCGGTGAGGGAGGGGTGTGTGGAGCAGACGAGACCAGAGCCAGGTCTTGGGGGACATTGTTTGGAATAGAGCACAGACCCAGCCCTTGAGGCCGGTGGTGCAGTGTTGGTGGAGGGGTGTGGTGGGAACCGGAGACCCGCTGAAAAGGAGCCTGGGCGGCCCCCTGCCTGCACTGAGGAAGCGCCCAGGTGAGTTCGTGGGGACCGAGCCCAGGCCGGGCAGTGCCCACTCTCCCAGCGGACGCAGAGGGCTCCACAGGCCCTGCAGGAGCAGCACGAGGAAAGCTGACTTCGGTGCTGCACAGAACACAGGAGGACGGGGGGAGGCCCGGAGGCCGTGCTAGCGCAGGGCAGTAAGGCCGTGCAGCCTCCTGTGATCTGGGGCGCCGGGTCCTGGAAATCCAGTGATGGGCGCCACTTCTAGACGCGGCTGGCCCTGTGGTCCTCCACTTCCTCCTGCTGCTGGCTGGGTGCACACCACCACCCCATCCTGACTGTCCCAGGGCCACACTGGGGAACAGTAAGCACGAGAGAAACGAGAGGCCCAGCTGAAAATGTTAAGTTCGGGGGGAGGAAGTGGAATCACTCATCATGATCTAAAATACAGGGGAGCCCTGGCCGGTTTGGCTCGGTGGTTGGAGCGTTGGCCCGTGGACCGAAGGGTCACAGGTTGGATTCCCTGTCAAGGGCACACACCTGGATTGCAGGTTCCACCCCAGCTGCGGCCCCAGTCTGGGTGCATGTGGGAGGCAACCAAATGAAGTCTCCATCTCTCTCTCTCTCCTCCCTTCCACTCTATTTAAAAATCAGTGGGAAAAATATCCTCAGATGAGGATTAACAAAAAATAAATAAGATACACGGAAGCAGACACGCGGCCAACAGGCCTCTGGCGGACATGGCGAGCTCTTGGTGCCCAGCCCGGCTGCCTAGGGCGTGCTGCCCAGGAGGGCCAGGGCTGCCCCTCTCCCTTACTGTTCTGCCCCCTGGGTCCTCGTTCAGTCACTGGGCGGGCATGTGTTGAGATCGTCACGTGCTTCATTCAGGTCTCTGCTCGGATCTGAGTTCTCACTAGAGAAGCCTTCCCTCAATGTGATCAGTAACCACCTGGCCTCCAGCACTTCCTGTCCCTTCCTGCACTCTGCTTTTCTGTGCGGCCCTCGTCGCTGCCTCGGGTTCCCTGAGTGTGCCCATCCTGCCCATCTTCCCTGCAAGCTCCTGGGCACGGACTGGGGCTAGTACGGCTCAGACGCCGCTGCAGTCCAGGCCGACGGGGCCAGCATCCCCAGCCCTGCCGTCTGTGGGGGAAGGTGGCCAAATAATGACTCAGTGGGAGGACTGGCATGATTAGGGGAGTGTAGGAGTTTGGGGGACATTCAGCAGCAGCTCCCACCTGTCTCAAGGTCAAGGAAGACCAGACAGTTACGCAGAAACAGAGAGCTGAACGCGAACAGGATGGTTGGTCCCTGAAGGGGGAGGGATGTGTCTCTCTTGGCAGAAGGCAGTTCAAGTTCCAGAAAGACCTGAGTGTAGAGATGGGGAGAGACCAGGTCCAAGGTCTGGTCCAAGGAGCAGCTGGCACAGGCAGGGGCAGAGGCCGGATGAGGCCAGGTCGCGGAAGCACAGGAAGGAGCTGGAAGTGGGAAGCCCTGGGGGGTAAGGGTAGCTTTACTGAGATACAATTCACTTGTCATCAAGTCACCCATTTAAGGTATACCATTCGGTGGTGTTTAGTGTTACAGGTACACAATCAACTTTGGAACATTTTCACCCCCTGCCCCGCAAAAAAAAAGTATCCATGATCAGTCACTTCCCATTTTCCCCCAACCCCTCCCAGCCCCTGGCAACCACCGCTCGACTTTCCGTCTCCATGGATTTGCCTGTTTCGGACATTTCATATGGGATCGTGCAGTGTGTGGCCTTCCGTGTCTGGCTCCTTTGGCTCAGCATATTTTCAGGGGCCACCCAGGTGGTGGCACGTACCAGGGCTTCCTGTCTTGTGGCTGAAGGATGCTCCCTGGCATGCGCCATGCTCTGCATATCCATCCACATGCTGAGGAGCCTTCAGTGTCCGCACTCTGGCCCTCGGGAACCATCTTGCTGCGAACGTCCATGCTTCACGGGGACAGCCTGGAGGACTCGAAGCAGAGGAGCACACACTGTCCTGTTGGGCTGGAACAGGGGAGAAAGGGGACAATGTGAGA